GGAAGCTTTATTAATATAAGATTTATTATTCTAGCTAGGCAATTATTAGCAGGAGTGATCATAAACAACAACAACTTGCATTTATGTAGCACCCTTCATAGATAAGCCAATTATAATGTCATTGTCTTTGGGCTAAACTTGCGTCTTCAAGTATCCACTTGTAAGTCTGTAACTGAATGGTTCATCGGCAGTTTTGCCATGTCAAACCTCTGCACCTTTCAGCGGTCTTCGCTGACACCACGCTGGGTGATTATCATTCTCTACATTTGTACTGATCTCAATTGGAGATTTCACAGTTGTATTTCAAAGGTGATTCTCAGTGAGCAACATTTTTTTAAAAACTACTTAAAACAAATGGTGGGAGTAGAATGAGATATTAGCCTAACCCAATCCTGTGTTCATTTCATGAACCCATATACGTGCTTTCCTTTGATGTTAACTGAATAGTCACCGGAGCAGGAACTTTGAGTAATTTCCTTTCCCACCACACCCACCCACCCCCCGCGCCCAGACCAGGAATTGAATCTGAGACCTTCCTGATCTCTGTGGTTTTGAGTCCCACAGAAAGGAAGGGAAGTAGGCTTTTAATTTGAATAAAAGGAAAATAATTCCTTACTACTTTGTATTATACAGTATCTTGGTATTTCTGTAGCAGGGAAAATGTCCTTGAATCCACACAAATTAGCTCTGTAATTGAAACTTACAAACTTATAATTGTACATTTGTTTAGCAGATGAAAAAGTGGAAGAGTGGTTGAGATTAGCACTGGGGTTCACTGTGACCGCAGTGAAAATCATTAAGAGTAACTTTTTTGCAAACTATATTCGTCTGTGCCAATTTAGACCCATAGAGCTGCAGGATGTCAAAAGTACAATTGAAACAGTCAACCAGTGAAATAATGAGATGATATTTATCAAGGTTTGAAACGATCACATGCAAGTTTAATATTCAGCTTTTAAGGTGAAACCAAGTGAACTGTACATATTCGTCATGTTTTTCACGTCTCAAATGGTCATACATGTTGGATGCAGCTGGAGGTATAGTAAAGCTTGAAGGCTTTAAAATCTATGATTGTTTAAAGCACCACTGTGACTCGTTTCTACTTTTGCAGGCATTAATCTTACATATCTGGTTTAACCTCAGTGTTATCCAGCCACAAATGTGTTCTGTAGGCTGTTTTCATTTGAACTTTGTGGTTTCATATTCAAAAGCAATAGTCTTGAAGCTTCGTTATTTTTAAAAAAGAGCTGTCATTGCTTTTGTAATGCTGAAAATATTCATCTTATTATTTAAAAATGAACAGGTACATGCTTATGACTGTTATCTAATGTTGTTTCCCACAACCTGTGAAACGTGACTTGCGGTCGAGGGGAAAAAGCTGTATGCTACAGTTGATTTATTTACTCTATGATGTTGAAAAATATTAAGAATGCAAATAAGTGTATTTAATTACTGTAAAAAAAATTCTCATTCCTTTGATTTCTGTTGTATTTGAAATGTGTTCTGTTTCTTCTTCCGTTCTTGTTGCTTGATGTGTCTCTTTGACTTATGGGTTTCTCTTTGTATAGTGGACCCACAAAGGGATTAATGTTCCCTACGCTACATATCATTACACTGCTTTTGTAGAGGTGAGCACCTGAGGGCAAATGGTAACCCTCATTTCAGTAATTGACAATGGATTTGCCCCGTGCCATTAATTATTTGAAACTGCAATGTTACAATGCAGTTTCCAGAGTAACTACACAAAAGGATAAAAATATACTGCATCACCCAAGTGGAAAGAAACATTCCCAGATTGTACTGCATCCGGGAAGAAATGCTGGCTGCCCTTTATCATAGAAGCAAATCATTGGTAACATTTAAAATAAAACTGACTTAATCCATAAGGGTAAATGAATAATAATCCTTACATTTGATATAGCGCCTAATCATGTCATTTAAATGTCTCAAAGCGCTTCACAGGATATAGTGTAAGATGAAGGAATAATGGTGGGAATGTGGGTGGGCTGAATGGCAATTTTTTGTTAGTCTTGATCTTTCTTACTTTCTGATTTTTACTTAACTTGTAGATCTAGGTAGACTTTGTTGGTATTCCCACTTGGAGCTACAGATGGTATAACCCTGTAAAATGCTGCACAGTGTATAGTAAAAAAACAACCACAACCTGTGTCCAAAGGGATATCTAGTGGAACTTGTACACAGCAGTGAATTTTATTCAACTGCAGTCCCTTTATTGTCACTACAGTACTTGCTTAAGAATAGAAGCATAATGTTTTATAGCATGAATAGGGATGAAATGTCTTAAGGAAATTCACAGTAGCTATCCCTTTATTATTCACTTGATCTATCTCTATCCTACTCATTTCAAACCTGATGGGCTTTTTGCGCTATGGACCATGGGCCTTTACAATTTCCATATTTAAAAAAATAATACTTTGGCTAGCTTTATTTGACAATCCACCCAAATAAAATTGGTCATTCACTCCATTGTTGTTCGAGGAACATTGTTTTGCACAAATTGATGGCTGTGTTTAAAATCCTGCAAAATGCTTTTAGATGTTCTTCCGATGTGAAAGATGCTATACCAAGTGCAGAGTTTTTTTAAACTTCTCATTATAAGCAACGGAAATGGATTATTGAAAATGTTTAACATCATGGACTGATGCAAGTGTGATGAGTACTATATATAACACAAGTATTCTTGTAGTAATAAGTTGTAAATTGGTGGAAGCTGTGTGAATGTCCATTCTGTTTCTTGTTTGAGTCTGTGAATGATTGGTCAAATTGCATCTGCCACATGCACTTCATCTTTGACAGCAATAAAATACATAGATTCAATTGGTACCCAAGTTGTGTTTAATCGTGTCTAGTAAAACATTTTTGTTTTAAAAATATTTTTATAGTTCTGCTTTGGTAAAATGATGAAATCATTCCTCAAATGCTTAACAATAAAACATTCACTGCAGACATCTGGAATACATTTTATTTTAACCACAGCATAGTTTGTTTGGTACTGCTTGGAAGGTATTGCAACCTGTTCGGTTTATGTTTGACATGAAAATTATTGTAAGACAGACTTATCAGGTGGGCTTCATTTATAGACAACTTAAGACAACTTCATGCTTTTGGATTTAGATATTGAACATTATACTTCAGTGGCTGTTCGAAATTTGTTTTGAAAAACAAATCGGGGCCAAAAAAGTGGTCGTTTGCAACAAGATTCATAAATAGGGCCTCAGTACGAGTTGCTAATGGCAAATCTTGCTGGTAAAGAGAGTATGTTGTGGTATTCCTGCTCCCAAATGAGATCAATAGATCTCACGAGCAGCTAGCAACAACAACTTGTATTTATATAGAGGTCCTCACACAGGGCAGCACCCCAGAGCACTTGGAATAGAGCAAGTCAACCGTAACTTATTAGCAGGATTCCTCATTAGTGACCCTGAGTTGTTATTAGCAAATCTCATTGCTTTTTGACCCCACTGTTGCTGGCTGTGTGTAAAGGAACATTATGTGCTTTATGCTTTCACAAGTTGCTTCAACTATTCATGTGTTTTTTTTCGAAAGAAAAGCAAAAAGATCTGAGTTTGGGAAAAAGGTTAGATAATTATCAATACAACAAAATAAATGCAACACAATATAGGTGGGACAAGAGAGAAATGCTCATAGGAGGAATATCCACAGTAGTACAGTATAGATAAAACAAGGTGAATAAAGGTTGTGAAGAAAAGATAGAGATGTTTGAGCCCCAGATATGGCAGGAGGGTTTAAAGCCTTGGACAGATACGAACAAATGTAGAAACTTAAAGTGTTGTTAGTATTTCTTTTGAGATCAGAGAATCAGTGGAAAACAGGGCCAAAAATACAAGTAGATGAAGAAGTTCCTTCTAAAATGTTACATTAATAGAGATCAAGATCCAGGTGGAATTATTTCTCCATTGGTGGGGAAATAAATATTGATAGTTATCTACCCCCCACCCCAGCCCTCCCCTGCATCTCAAACATAGGAACATAGGAATTAGGAGCAGGAGTAGGCCATTCGGCCCCTCGAGCGTGCCCCGCCATTCAATAAGATCATGGCTGATCTTCTAACCCAACTCCATCTGCTCTCCTTATCCCCATATCCCTTAATCCAATAATAAATAATAATAATAAATAGGTCATTTTCAATCTACGACTGTTTGTGGGACATTGCTGTGCACAATTGGCTGCCGCTTTCGCCCACAAATATACAGTCAACTCACTTTACAGTGTGTTCTGTGAAGCGCTTTGGGACGTCCTCCCGACGTGAAAAGCGCTATATCAAATGCAAGGATTATTATTATTATTTTATTATAATCCTTCTATCCTTTAGAAATCTATCAATCTCAGTCTTGAATATGTTCAAGGATTTAGCATCTACAGCCTTCTGGGATAGAGAATTCCATAAATTCACTACCCTCTGAGTGAAGAAGTGTTTCCTCAACTCAGTTCAAAAAGGCTGAACCTTAATCTTAAGACTGTAACCCCTAGTTATAGATTCTCCTACCAGGGGAAACAGTTCCACACTGTCTCTTCTGTCAAGCCCCAAAAGAATCTTATATGTTTTTATAAGATCAGCCCTAATTCTTCTATATTCCAGAGAATATAGGCATAGTTTACTCAACCTATCCTCATAGGTCAACCCCCTTATCCCAGGAACCAACCTAGTGAATCTACGCTGCAGCCCCTCTAAGACGAGTATGTCCTTTCTTAAATAAGGATACCAAAACAGCTCATAGTATTCTAGGTGCGGTCTCACCAAGGCCTTATACAACTGCAGCCAAGACTTCCCTATTTTTGTATTCTAACCCTTTTGCAATAAACACCAACATGCCATTAGCCTTCCTGGTTGCTTGCTGTACCTGCATACTAACTTTTTGTGACTGGTGTACAAGGACACCCAAATCCCTCTGAACACTGACACTATCTAGTCTCTCCCCCTCCAGAAAATAATCTGCTTTTCTGCTTTTATTACCTAGGTGAATAACTTCACAATTCCCCACATTTATATTCAATCTGCCTTCACCAACTCTCCATCCATTCCCGGTATTTGACAAGGTACGTCATTTTGAATGGAGGCAGGAGGAGTCTACTGCAGCTGTGCATTCCAAGCTATTTTCATCTTGAGTTAAGTAGTATGTGGTTTGTAGACAGATGCCTCGGCTTGCACTCATAGCCGGCAAGGAGGCAGGACCAACTCATTTAAGAAATTCATAATGTAAAATAACATGTTTTTACAACTTTTTACTCTCGAAGAATCAGAATGCATTATACCAACAATTTGTATGATTGAAGAGCAGCTGGTGCAACGTGTTGTATTCCTGTTTGTTGTCAGGAAGTCATGCCTGCAATTAATCCCCCACATGGTGCATCTCAATATCAGTAGTAAAAAAACATTGGAGGCATCTGACAGAGAAAAAACCTGGTAAATTTCCATAGCTCACTCTTGTGCATTTCCCATTATCTGGATCACGAGTGACAGGATACTAGAGTGAATTGTCAACCTGGGTACTCAGTCTCACCGTGCTGGAGAAAACTTGATACAGTGCAATATAAAAAGAGGGGGATTTCCCTCCCCTAAGTGTAGGGCATACACAAAATAAGGGGAAATGTTCAGAAGATGTAATAGCCAGCAACCATATTCCACCTCTTGTTTCCTTTCACTGCTTTTTTACCACCACATTGGAAAGAGAATGGGATCTTCCAACCTATATTCATTATCTATCTGCTGTAAGCAATTGGCTGCCATGTTTTGCACACAAAATAGACAGTCAATTCACTTTACAGTATATTCTGTGAAGCGCTTTGAGATGTCTCAAAGATGCTGTATCAAATGCAAGGATTATTATTATTTTATAGTTCAATGCCACTAACACAGTCATCTTTAAGAAAAGTATGCATGCTACAGGGATATGGTACTGCTATTGCTTTGAACTACTATTTTGTTGGAATCCAGGGTTGGATTTGCACGTTTCAAAGGAAATTTTCAAAAATGCACAATCCAATCATCGAAAGTTACGAATTGTGGTTAAAAAATATATTTCAATTAAAACATGATCTCAAATCTGTTGTACAATACGCACTGTTTTGGTCAGTAAGAAATCTTATGTAAGAACCAAAGACATTTACAGTACAGAAGACCTGTCAGTCCATCATATCTGTGTTGTCTCTTTGAAAAAGCAACCTGTTCATTCCCATTGACCTACCTTTTCTCATACCCCTTCAAATTATTCCTTTTTAGATATCTAACTTGTACCCGCTTGAAAGCTAGTATGAATCGTGCCATGACTGCTGCAAAAGGCAGCACGTTCCATAACCTAACAGCTAACTATGTAAAAATAATTCCTCCTAATCTCCCAACTTTGCTCCCTTGCTAACTATTTCAAATTGATGCCCTGTAATCATGTGGCCTTTATAAGTAGAAGCTATTAAGGAGACTTTATGCAACAAATCACTGATTAGTGAAATATTGGAATAGACTGAAACCAATCCACACATCCAGGAGAAATTGAGAATTTGAAAGGTTATGTGTGTCAGCTAAAAGTCATGTGCACAGAATATCTAAGAAATATAGGCATAAATTATACTGCCAACAACTATGTTGCCTCAAGTTTTATTTCATACATTTTGGAAGAAACTTCCGCGAATATTGCTGAGCACGACATAAATAGTTCACTAGTTTAGATGTAGTTTCTGCCTTCATCCTTATATGAAGAAACATCAGAGCTTTTATCTGTGTGGTTATTTTATCATTTGCCAAATATAGCATCAATTCTCTAATATCTTAATGCATTCTTGCAGACTGGTCTTAATCAGTTTGCCAGAATTTGTGAGCAGGAACAACTGAATAATGTTTATGATACTGAAACATTTGCACTCCATTTGTGTTACAATAAATGGGCTTTGTTATTACAATATCTGAAGTTTATCTTCCTATCATTTACTGAAAGATGAGCTGTCAATTATGCATTAGATTTATAGGGTACATTGTATTATTTGATAAATTAGTATTCTGAAGTTGATAGATGTTATATTGCAAGAAGTACAATAGTAGTTGAGTTAGTAATTTGAGACTAAATCATGGTGGATTGCTATATTTGTGGAGTCCTGTAGCTCAGTGGTTGAGCACTCGCTTTGCAAGCTAGAGACCTGAGTTCAATTCCAGGCAGGGCGAAACCTTGGGCAAGTTTCCTTACTCCACACAGAGCCTAATAATAATCCCTCCAAAACCAAAAACAATAATAAATTGGTCATTTTCAATCCACGACTGTTTGTGGGACATTGCTGTGCGCAATTGGCTGCCGCGTTCGCCCACAAATATACAGTCAATTCACTTTACAGTGTGTTCTGTGAAGCGCTTTGGGACGTCCTCCCGACGTGAAAAGCGCTATATCAAATGCAAGGATTATTATTATTATTATTATTATTATATTCTCCAATCAGCCCTTTTAGGAGTTTGCTTCACAGTTGCAGTGAAGCAAACTCCTACTAAACCCACATAACAAGCACAGATCTGTATCTGTCCACTGAAACATACTGAAAGCTCATTAATCGTTTTAATAACCATTGTGGGTATCTATGGTCCTACTGTTTGCAACAATTTGTTACATGTAGTGAAACATTGACTTGCAACATCAGAAATACACAATATGCACATCTTTTGTCTATGTGTTACTTTTGCTGTAACAGCAATTGTACATTTCAATCAGATTATTGTTATTGCATAATTGTTATTATTGTTTTGCATTAAATGAGCAGAAACATAACATGTTGTGTAAAGTGATCATATCTGGGACGGGGACAGTTGTATAACTGGTAGAGAAAAAGTCAGCTGGCAATCCAGCTCCTGATCACTATGATCACTCCTACAAGAAAGTCCCTTTAATGTTTATAAGGGGCCAGATTGTAAGTGCACGCAAGACTGATATTATGCTTAAGATTTTACTTGGGTGCTTTTGAGGGTTAGGGAGAAAGCTTTGCCTTTGGAAGTATTATGGGTGGTAATTCACCAGTCTTGCCTTCAGAGTAATTGAATGGTGGGAAGTACATGACAGGACAAGTTGTTCATGGTCTGTCTTGATGATCTTGAGTCACTTTTTCTTGTTCCTTACTTTGGGTTCCAATAGCATAAATCCTTTTTAATAACCAATTTAAAAGATACAATCAGCTCAGGTTTTTGGAGTTTAAAATATCTGTTAACATTTTAACCATCTCTATTCCCCGTCCATTAATACACCATGCTCTCTTATGATTTAATCCTGAATGTAGTTGCCTTACTCACCTCTGGTGATAATAGCTCCTGTTTACCTTTTTCCAACCTAGATTTATTGAAAAATAGGAGAATTTATTAATTTCATTCTTTCAATTTGCACCTTATTTTTCTTTCTGTAGTTGCAGTTTGACTGTGAATAGACGCTGTTCAAGTAACCACCTCCATTCAACAACCACCCCCTATTAACAACCACCCTGGAACAGTCCAGATATCCCAGTTTGCACATCAACAAACTTTTACTCAGAGGCCACCCTTATATGAAGATCACTTTGGCCCAGCCCCTGAAAGATTGTTGAAAACAGGTTTGACTATTTATTGCTGTTGCACGCTGACACCACTGGTCAGCAAAACAACTAATACCAAATGTTTCTGCACAAACTCCTCCTTGTTGAATTACAATGATCAGGTTGACGTTCTGTGGGGAAATTAATTCCAAATGTGGGCTCAGCAGGAGAAGAGATCCCATGTTCAGGGTTGTGAAGGGAACAATGATCTTAAATGTGTTTGATAACTGGCATGTTGGCTGCTATCTAGTTTCTTTTAGTTTTGGGGGAGGATGCGGTGTGAGGGAAATTGTAGATAGTCATCTTGGGTCCCTCTTGACCAACCAATAGAACAATGAATGTATCTTATGGACAATAGAGTTTTGCTGAAATTATCAGTTTTGCTGAAATTATCCCTTTTCAGATAATAAATTAAGACTTAGGGTGTACTACTTGTATTATAATCCGAGCAGTTCAGTTTGTTCAAATACTATGCTTTCGCTATGTATTCCACAAAGTTGATGTCTGGCTTTTTGTTTTTATATCCATTTCAATTGCTTTTGAAGCTGCACATTGGTTTCTTTCACTCCCCCCTCCCCGATGCAGCTGCTCAGCACCGCACCAAAGTAGACAAAGAATAGTTTAGTTTACCCCTACTGTATTCTGCAAGGATCAAAAGTAGTTGAGTCATTGGATCCTGTAGGTGTAGGCAGAACTCTTTGCTGTCATTTCAAGAAGTGGCAAACCCTATTTCCTTTTCCCTCACATAGGCATCCAGGTTTTCTCCTAAATATATTGATGCTTTTTTGATCACAACACAATGATCTTCACCCACAGCTTCCAGTAGTGAATTCCACATTCTTGCCACACTCCATGTGAAGACGTTTCTGCCAAACTCCCTTCCACTAGCTACCTTATACTTATGCGTCTCATTTTAGATTCGTCAACAAGTGGAAACAGCCATTAATGTCCAACCTTATCGAATCCTTTCATAATCTTAAATACCTCTGTCAGGTCCCATCGTGATTGTGTCTTGATGTCAGAAAAGCTACACTGTGTGTTTACTGAGCTACTTGCAACATAGATGCGGATCAATCAAACCTTTGTCATTTCAAAAGCTGCAGTAATGGTTAGAAAGTTTTGAATGCTGGAATACACACATACTGAGTGTGCGAGCAAATGTTAGTAAACAAAAGAAACAATGTTGAGCTTTAAGCCCAAGAAATGGTAAAGATATTAACTATGCCTGTGGGGTAAGGAGGGAAAAGCTGACTAGTGGTGATGTGGGAATGGATGATTATTTTGAAGTTTTTGTTTGATTAACTTTTAAGATCAGGGAGCGCCTGTGTGATCAAAGCTTCTCGTGAAGAGATGATGTAGAGCTTATAATAGGTTTTGTGTGGTAAATGGCTGGGGGAGTTGGGGGTGGGGTGTGGGTTGGGAGCTGGAATATGTTAGGCTGAATGGCCTTTCTCATTCCATGCATTTCATGTGGCAGTAAATGTGGCTGGAATTTTGACAGCCCAGAGGCAAGTTTTCAGGAGTTTACTGTATTTTTTTTCAGAGAGATGGCAATCATGTATATAATTGTAGTTCCTGTGTCAGTTCAACAATAAGAACTTGCATTTGCGGTATATATTAGCCTTCATTCAGGAGAGCGACTCAGAGCGCTTAACTCAAAGTTCACTGGAGGACACCATTTTATTTTCTGTGTCAAGAGCAATGAAAACAGTCATTTGGCCTGACTAGTCCATTCCCCCATTCTTTTAAATCAAGGCAGATCTTTTAATATATTTCTCCACCTTTCTTCATATTCCTTAAAATACCCTCACTTCCCAAATATTTATCTGTTTTCAAAGTAAACATCACAATTGAAGTGAGCATCTACAGCCATCCAGGCATTGTATTTCACATTCTCACAACCCATGAAAGGTTATGTAACCTTTCAGGAGGGCAACCCCTCATATAGGTATGAGCTCAAGTCTCTTGTTCACAGTGTAGTAAGAGACAATAATTTATTTTCTAAATCGGGATTTTTTTTGGTGGGGGGGAGGGGCTGTTACCTTAGTTCAAACTTCTGCTGTTAAATGTTCACTACTTCTAGATTTTGCAAATAGTAACAGTTGTTTAATGAAAACTTTGGTTGACACATTATTAATCTATTAATCTGAAGCTGTGGTCAGGATGAACCTGGAGTATTACATGAGATTCTGGTCGAAGCGGCTTGAAGGGGCCATGCCTCAGAGATAATACACAGGAGCAATGAGGCTGGAAACATGGTTGAAGCCTATTTGCTGCATGTTTTAAGAAATACTTTAATGTTATAATACNAAAAAACTAGAGGCTGGGTAACCTGGAAAAATGAGATTAAAAGGGTCATCCAAACCTCTCTTGTGACAAATCTCAAGAGAGGTGGCCAGTAGAGGGTGCTGAGAGAGAAGGAGGGATAAATAGCAGACAAGTTAGCTCAGTGCACTTACAAGCAGCCATCATTGCGATCAGCATTGGTATCATCTATTATTGTAATAACCTTGCAATGAGTCTGTGAATCCAGATCATACAAGGAACAAGCGGGTCCCAACAAAGATCCTGTATCACAGTCAATATTCCTCTCCCTTTTCAACCTAATAGATACCTTCTATCGTACAATCTTTAGATACCAGGAATCTGCTGAGAGAGGAGGGATAAACAGCTCGATGCACTCACAAGTAGCCATCTATGAAAGTTATACTTATAGATTTGTATGATGCTGTGGATGAATAGCCATATTACATTTTTAAAAATAAAAGGGAGGAATACAATTAAGTTAAGGCTTACAGAGATAAGACAAAAGAAATACAAAAGGCATAGAAAAGAAACAAAAAGGGGGAGATTAGGAGAGCTAAAAGACAGTATGAAAAAACCTGCTGTCAATATGAGAATAATAGTGTAGGATTTTATAACCAAAAGAGCATGAGGATATTATTCAAAAAAACAGTGGGGGTCACCACAAGATGAAGGAGGCAGTCTTGGAGTAGAGAATGGATATGTGAGATGGCTAGATATGCCAGTGTAGAAGTATTGCTGAAACTGAGGAGCTCTTTTGTTTCCTGGTAAGAGAATAAATACACTGGTAGTTGGTAATCAATGTGTATCTTCTCGCACTCCATTCCTTTCAATTGCACACTATTCTACACACAATCTAACCATTCTGATTCTGCACCAGTTCTTTTCAGCTGCCTGCTAAGTACATAAGTGTGACCAAGGTATAAATGTTGTATGAATGAATGTGGAGACTACAGACTTGAATCAAAATCTCCAGCTTACTTTAGAAATTGTTGTGACCTTCCCCCATTTCCCCCACCTGAATATTCCTGTTCTGTAACAATACAAAAGGTAAATTGATTGCCAGCGGCAAATCTTCACCACAAGAGATGATTCGATGAAGAATGTAGAACAGCTCATTCTTTCAGGATACTATTCATTGCATTGCTATTCCTTCCTGTTCTCTTAAATGTCCATTGTGTAGAAATTCAAAGCCAGCGTTTTACTGAACGAGACATATCTGTCGCCTCTCCCTGTATAGCAAAGTGGGTGAAGGCACTGTTTTATAACAATATTTATAACAATTTAATATTACATATAAAATATTTTATAACAAAAAACAAAACTGAAAAAAATCAATGTTTTTACACTGCTGAATGCATTGCAACCCCTTTTTCCTTCTAGTGAGGTACAGTTATATGGGTTCAGGTTACCCTCTGGTTCCTTTATTCATGCACAAGACTTGATTGTGAGTGTGGTTGGGTTATTGGACCATGGAGAGCATCAAAACTGAGCCTGATCCTGCTCTCAGCCAATGTTACATAAACGTTAAATAATCTTGTGATGGCGGTGAGAAATCAACGGACACTGATCAATGTTTCTAATACCTCCTTAACCCAGGGCCCCTTTATTCATTGGCTATTTTTAATTGGCTATTGGCATCTCTAGCCATCTCAAATGTCCATTCTCTACTCCAAGACCTCCTCCTTCATCTTGTGGTGACCCCACTATTTCTTTGAATAATATCCTTATGCTCTTTTGGTTATAAAATCCTTATAAAATATTTCATATGTACAACATGCAGACCAAAAAGTCACAAGTTCAAGTTTCAGTCTTGGCAGCATTTAGGATATTATTAGCTTGCCTCGGGGCAATTTCGTTTCGAGTCTTTGGAGGATTACTTCCTGTTGAGTCTTCTTCCTTCCAACAATATTACTTGCTTTCCCGAAATCTTTCAGCGCCTTGGGACATCCTCCCGACGTGAAAGGCGCTCTATAAATGGAATCTTGTTGTTGTGTTGTTGTTGTAGATAATGAGTAGAAGGAAGGTCATAGAAATTATATTATCTTCATCTTTATAGTTTCTCTAACATGTGGATTTTGTTTTACGGGTACGAAACACCCCCATATTCTCCCACATCTAGTTGACTGGCTTACTAGACGGTAGGTGGTGGGGAGTTGAGGAGGCATGGGTTCAAGGGCAAAGAGCAACTTGCTCATAGATCATTTTACTACAATCACGCAATTTAGATCAGGACCTCAGTAAGGTGGGGGAGGAATCCAGCTTCCCAGTCTATGCTAGACTTCCTGTAATAAAATAATAATAAAGTTTTATTATGAGTCAGCATATTTCAATGGACAACCTTCATGTATAATTCTTGAATGTTAAAAACTTTTTTTTCTATTAGCAGAGTGAAGAGCTGTGCGTTTTCATCTCAAGGATGTCACAATTTGGTGAAGGAATCACATGTTTCCAGACAGCAGAATATAGGTTTGTAAAATAGGATTCATATTACTGTTTATGAATCTATTTGTCTATATATTGAAGGTATTTCTCTGCTTCTTAACTCTTTCTATCTTGAAACCTGGATTTTTTTTAAGAATAAAAGTTCACCATTCAAAGGTGTAACCAACAGTTTCATCTCATTCTGTTTTGGTCAGGGAAATTTTTAAGCAGTGTTTAACCCAGTTTAAAAAAACACCTTAAGATAATCTTTGTTGGCAATTTGTCAGAGAGCACTTATTCAAAAGCTGAAGTTTAACATCGGTATTCACTGGTATCATGCCAGTTTCGGCTTGAATAAAAGTCACGGAGAGGAGAGCTAACGTCGTTACGGAAACGCATGTGAATTTACTGGATACTGAGAGACTTCAGCCTCATTATCAAGCTGTTATCATTGCTTTGATTCAAGTATCTTTGAAGAGGCAGCTTCTGGCATCAAGGGAGTCAGACATTGTAAGGTTTGTTTTATTATTGCATGTTTTTGAGTTTTGGGCTTGTAGCTCAAATGAATTAGATGTTCAACATTCAGAAGATTCAACAACTTTTTTTAATATCTAATTGTCTTTTTTTCCCCCCACTGGCAACTTAAATCTCTGGTTCTGGTATGATCTCCTCTTTCTGGGGTGTGGTTCTTGGGGCGCTAGTTGCCCTCTGGTCCCCTGCCCAAGTGGTCATTGTTCACACGTTGAGCCTTGTTAGTGAGCATCCAGAGGCCACTCAACTGTGGAAGGTCATCAAAGTCGAGACTGACCTCTCTCTACTTGGCTGCAACAAATGTGTACAGCCAGTAGAGGGTGATGTACACCGTTTTTCTTCTCTAACCCTGAAAGGCCAGAGCCAGTTTGAGCCTCCCACGTAACCCCGGCTGAGACCAGCGTGTCCCCGGATTTGAATCATCAAGCTCCCAGTCCATAACTACAGCTCAATTTACTACATCATCTGCACTGCCTTTGTTAATTAGGTTTAAGATAGCATTTCTCTTACCTTCCCATTGCTTTACTGTAATAAATCCTTCTTTCATTTAAAACTGGTCATAGCACTTTCAAAGCTCCAAGTGGATGAAGCATTATACTGAGTCCTCCATGAGTGTGGTGGAGAGGGTGGTGGAGAGGGTGCTGTGGAGAAGAATGAGTGCAGTGAGTGGATTGTTGCGAGAGGTGGGCCAGAGGGGAAGGAGATCAGAGGAATCCAGGGCAGCGGAGAGCGATTGTGGGGAGATCTTCTTCCACGGGTGGTAGAAGATGGTGGTAGGTTTGGAGGCAGCGGGGAGAGGAATATGGGAGTTGAGGGAGATGAAATGGTGGTCAGAGATGACCTTGTCAGTGATGGTGACACACAAGATGCTGCAGCCCCAGGTGATCACCAGGTCGAGCAGGTGACCGTGGGTGTGGGTAGCAGAGTGGATGTGGAGGGAGAGGTTGAGAGAGGAGAGGAGAGAGGAGAAGTCTGAGGAGATGGAGCAGGAGGGGGTGAAGTGGAGGTTGAAGTCGCCTAGGATGATGAGGTGGTCGGAGCAGAGGCAGAGGGAAGCAAAGAGGGTGGAGATGTCAGAGATGAAGGTGGGAGAGGATTTTGGAGGGCGGTAAAGTAAGAGAATTTTCAGAGAGAGGTGGGAGGGATGGCAGAGGGTAAGGGAAGGAGTAAGGAGGGGAACGAGCTGGTAGAGTAGGGGGATAGGGCAAGTGACATCCTGGATATGAGGGCCATACCACCGCCATGACAGTTGGGGCGTGGGGCATGGTGGTAAGTGTAGCCGGGTGGTGTGGCCTCAGTGAGGGGGAAGGTGTCACCTGGGGTGATCCAGGTTTCTGTGATTGCCGTGATGTCAGTGTTCTCATCGAGGATGAGATCATTGACAGCCAGGGTCTTGTTGGAGATGGAGCGGACATTTTGAAGTCCACTGCGGAGTGGATAGTTGGCAGGAGGATGTGTGGGATGGGAGGGGTAGTGGGTTGGTTGGGAGAGAGGGTGGGGATGCGGATGAGGGAGGAGAGGTTAACCCCCGGGGTCAGGGTCCGGGGTGGCTTCTTGCGGTGGTAGTGGGGAATGGTGCAGTTGGTGTGGCTGCTGCGTCGAGTGCCGCGATGAGACCGACGGAGGATTCCCAGGCTGGAGCAGAGGGAGGCAGTGGGGGGTGTCAAGCAGAGATAGGAGGCGGGGAGGGCGGAGAGAGAGCAGGACAGAGCGGGAGAGTTGCAGGGAGGGGGGCATTTTGAGGGAGGGCCAGCTCGGTCGGGGGCGGCAGCCAAGATGCGCACACTGGGATGAGAGGCGGCAGGTTTAGTAGGACATTGTCAGCCTGCAGGAGGCTGAGGGGGCGCTCATTGTGTTACCAACAAGCAGCCTGCAGGGGAAGGACAGACAGACAGACAGACAGTGGGTGGGAGGGAGGGAGACACTGTTTACAGGCTATACTGTCCTGTAGCTGCTACTACTGATTCAAACCTGGCGCGCGAGTAAAAGCTGATCTCTTTTATTTTCACACTTGGGTTTCAGGAGAATGCCACTGCAATTTAACTAGGTCAGAGGGCAGATCAACTCCCTCAGTAAAGGTAAAGTCAGTAGTGAGACCCTCTTGGCCCATTCATGGATTTGTGGTACTTAACTCTCTCCAGGAGGCTGTTATGGCTAAAGGAAATGAAAAAAATTTGGACTATCTAAATGATTTCTTAATATACACTTAGTTTTGCAATGGAAACCAAACATAAATTGTTTGTTTGTCTCCTTGTAAATCTTACTAACAGCTGCAGTAACTTCAGAAACTACAATATGTCAAAGAACAAAGATCAGTGGTATAGACTTTCAGTTGAACTGTAGTGAAACAACTTAAAGCATTATCTTTACAGTAATCTAAATATCAACCTTTGCTTTGCAATGGTGGCTGTGGCTGATAGCGCTAGTTTTGTTAGCAAGCCAAAGGTGAACTGTAAATTGAGCTAAAGACTTTGAGTTTACAATATGTCTTATATTTTCGGATTTCTCTGAATGTCTTTTGAATCATTTATAAAAACAACTACTATCAACGTATTCAGGAAGGAAGTTTTGAAACATTGCTTGTAATCCATTGCATCAGTCGTTTTGCATGAACAACAACAAGATGTCCCGAGGTGCTGAACAGTCAGGGATCAGGACCTGACCTAGTGGGAGGGCAGGGTTGGGATGGGGGAGGGCAGAGGGGGTAGGAAGGTGCTGAAGGCAAGGTCAAAAAGGAGGGTCTTGAGTCATGCCACTGAAGGAGGCAAGAGTGGGAGCAAGGCGAAGGGATTGTGGGATGGAGTTCCAAAGGGTGGGGGCAGAGAGGCTGAAAGCCCGGCCGCAGATGGTCGGGCAGGTCGAGTGGAAGACCTGGAGCAGGCCGGAGCCTGCTGAGCAGAAGGAGCGGACAAGTTGATAGGGCTCAGCAGGTCAGAGATGTAGGAGGGGGCAACGCTGTGGAGGGTCTTGAAAGTGAGGATGAGAATTCTGAATTCTGTCCTCTGAGGGATGGGGAGCCAATGGAGCCGGGTGAGGGTGGAGGTGATGGGGTCATGGAGCTTGGTGCGGGAGAGGTCACGAGGTGCAGAGTTCTGAATGATCTGCAGTTTGTGGAGGGAAGAGTTGGGAAGGCCGACAAGGAGGGAGTTTCCGTAATCGAGCCTTGAGGGGTTCGGTGGCCTGAGAGGTGAGGCATTGGCGGAGTCGGGCAGTGTTGCAGAGGTGGGGGAAGGCAGAGCGTATCATGGCCAGGATGTGGGGGAGAAAGGACAGTTGAGCTTCGAACAAGATGTCCAGGTTCCTGATTGGCTTGGTGAGATGGAGTGTGCAACCGTGGATGCTGATGCTGCCACTGAGGTGTTGAGGTGCTGATCCAGCCAGTCAGGAGGGCCTCAGTCTTGCTGATATTCATCCAGGACTTGATGCAAGCACTATTAAGGTGAACACAGTGGTGCATTTCCCAAAGAAGCCAAATTATGTGAGACTACATCAGTGATATAATCTTATGCTATTTTAACTTCTGTCTAATTATAGGCAATTTAAGCATAACAATTTCAGTTTAAAGGTCTTGGCAGTCCAATACCCCTAAGGCTTTTAACATTATTAAAATGTTAGTAGGGAATCCAGCTATTAACATTAAAATTTAACCAACACCCCATTGGCAGAATTATGCATGTCTGTAGAGCAGAGGCAGAGCCATATTCAGATCTGTAGGATGCATGTCTGATCATTGATCTGTGCTGAATTAGCCCATCAAAGGTAATTGGAGTGCTACATTCTGTCTTGTAGGCTCTGGCCTAAGGAGAGAAAAATCAATTTGGCTTGTGTGTTCCAAACCCCTGTTAGAAAGTGTATTGAAATACCAGTTGGCATTATGCTGATAATGCACAATTCTAGTGGGGAAATCCCATTGACAGCCAACATTGGCAAACGTGATATGCATAACATGGACTAAATTTTCAGCCCATATGTGTGTGGACATTGATTGAGGACAGGCACCCACTTATTTGTGCTTCTTTCTCCCTCCATTACTTACTCCCACTGCACCACTTACCAGGTTTTCCCTATTTTTGCTCACAGATGGAAAAATAGTCACTTGAAGGAGATTAGGGTTATGTTGTCTCCCAGGGGAAGGAGGTCAGGGTTGAATACGTGAGATTTGGGGAAATTAATTAATTTTCTGAATTTTTTTGTTGATTACCTTTGACATTCAGGGCATTATTATATTTATTCAACACTTTCCCTCAGGAGAGAGAATGAGTGGAGTAAAGTACATGATAGGTTTGGGTTTTGCTTGGTGTATGGAAGGAGTGAGCTTGACGTGCTTTTCACATCCCATATATCTTATGGATAATTAGTTGTGAACCACCCCAACAAAACAGGGACGGTTTTATACTGAAAACAAACATTTCATGGTGATATGGGCTGCCATTCAGTGTTGATGACTGAAGAAAAACGACTGGTTATTTATAAACCCGCAAATAAAATCATTGCATCTTCAATTTTGCAGTACA